TAGCTGTATAGAAGTCTTCGAATATTTGGCATGCTATTTGCTCCTGTCAAATGTGAGATGATGAGGCTACAGGACTGACTGGACTACATCGACTCTTAGTTGGCTTAAAGATAGGGAGTAAAGTGGTAGAACGTGTTAGCGACCAATTCACTTATTTAGAAAGTTCAATCAGCCAACGCCAGTGGGTTGATCGCTGACGAAGTCTCAGCACGGATTAAAAAAAAGACTCGTTTAGCATAGGCCACCTCAGTGTGAGACCTGGCCACTGAGAATGGAAGACATGAAAAGACTAGCTGTCTTTGATCATAGGTGCCTGCGCTCTATTTCCCGTGTAAAGTGGCATAATAAGGTGAGCAACATGGAGGTTAGGCGTAGAGTTCTAGGTAAACAGGGGAAATCAATCGACGAAGTTGTGAAGTTACATAGACTGAGATGGTTAGGACATGTGTTACGTATGCATACCTAGTCATCGCCTTCCTCGATGTGCACTGTTAGCGGATATAGGGTCAGGCTGGAAAAAAGCTAGCGGCGGTCAAACAAAAACTTGGCACCAGTCAATGAAATCCACAACAGTTAGTCTAAGCCACGTAGGAAGGTGTAGACTGGCTGACTGGTTGGGGTCGTCGGGACGGTAAAAATCAATGGTTGGAAACAATTGGTGACATGGCTCAAAATCGTTCTCAGTGGCGCAGATGCATCCACTCCTTATGTCTTATGATTTCCAATGAAACTGTTTTGTTTTTCGTTATTACTATTCCTTTGTCTCACATTTGTGTTTACTGTTTCTATTATGCATTTCTTCTACTTTCTTCTCTTGCTTTGTGTGGTACATGGAGGGTGTGTGTGGAGACTTGAACTGGTGCACATCGGTGCAAAGTTCTATATCGAATACAGACAGACCGACAGGCCAAGTTACACCGTTTCTGGTGTAGACGTGATACTCGGCTGGCTATCGATGAAATGACCTGTGTTTTCCACAGAAGCAGTTCGCTTCGTCCTCCTTTATGGCTGTGAGACCTTGCCGTTGAAAATGGAAAGCCTGGCTAGCTGTCTTTCATCATAGGCGCTTGCGTTTTATCTCTGGTGTTAGGTGGTATGTGTAACAGAGTGAGTAATATTGAAGGGAGGCTTCCGGTCAAATGCTGAGTAGGGAGGGAAAATCAGTCGACGAGGTTGTGAAAGGGCTGCATCGATTGAGTGAGATAGTTAGGACATATGTTACACATTCCTAGCTATCCATCGCCTTTCTCGACGGTCACTGTTAACTGACCTAGAATGGGTCAGGTTGGAAAAAAGGGCTAACGGTATTTAAACCAAAACATGGTTTTATCAGTCAATGAAATCCACAACTGTTAGTGTAAGCCACGTAGAGAGGTGTAGACTGCCTGACTGGTCCTTGGGATTCTAAAAACCAATAGCTGGAGACAGTTGGTGACATAGTCCTTCTTGTCATTAATGCTTTCTGGTCAACCATCAGATCTTCAGTATGGAGAGAAGATGGGTGTTGATGAAAGTCTGCAGAGGGCTGTTGGAAATGCTCGCCATGTTTCTGACCCATGTAGAAGAACGAAATGACTTGACATTGATGTTGAAAATTGGAGTTTTGTCGCTGGGTGAAGACGATTTCCAAAGTGATTTCAGAGTCATGAATGTTCAACTTACTTTTTCGATCCTGGCTCTTACATCCTAATCCGTGTCGACTTTCCGTAAGAGAAACGATGCTTCCTAGTTAAGTGAAAGATGTGACACCATCTTTCAAATTTCTTCAGTTGATGTTGTTGGTTGGTTATCTTTAAGACTTCCGTGTCCTTGTTGCCATCCCCTTCTACCAACTCGTTGGTTTTTGCCTGTAGAACTTTGAATTCATAAGGCAGACATAAACCACCTGTGAAGTGCAGATCTTCTGGAGTCTTCCTGTTGGTCCAACATATTCTTGCCTTCTGATACCTCACGTACAGTATTCCGTATGATCCGGTCCGCCACAGATTTTTAAGAATATTGCTGATAGGTAATAGATAGCTTCATATCATGTGGTGTAAAGGCAAGAATTATCTTCTAAGAATTCAAGGCATATTAATGTGCTATTGAGGAGCTTGTTCACGTCTTCTTAACTGCTTCTATTTCATTAATCATTCATATGAGAAATGACCGTCAATGAATGAAATACTCTTTCGGTTACAAGATTTAATCATGTGCTGACATCGGAACCAGTGCTAAACCTGAAGCTGTTTCGTCCCGGTTTGGGTCTCCTCATCAGTACACACACGGACAGGGTTAGAACCTAGGACCTTCCGGTTACAAGGCCCGCTTATAAACCATTAGGACATTGGAACCCGATCCAATGACCGATTCACGACATAGCGCGACCCACTAGCCAAATACCGTCAGTGGTGAGTATTTTTCCTCACGCCTGACTCACCAACGACTTGTCCTATTCAGGTACTTAGTTGCTTCGGGTTTTATATAGTGGGTTCTAGTGGGAAGTAGTGGCCAGTAGGGGAGGGTACAGCAGGTTGGGCGTGAGAACAAATACTCACCACTGATGTCGTTAACTAGTGGTTGCTCTCTCTATCTTGAATTATCGAAAGTTGGCATTCATGAACCGGTCACAAGGTTGGGTTCCATTGGCTTACTGGTCTGGTGTACGAGCTCACTGGGTTCGAACCCCGTCAGGTGAGGGAGTGCGTACTGCTGATAAGTCCTGAGCACTAGAATAAAACAACTGTCCGGTACTCCTCACTGGTTATATTATCAATGGTTCTCTAACCTGATACCAGCTCATGAATAAAATCCAGTAACTAATCAACCAAATCGCTACGAATTCAATTCAATTAATATAACCTGTTGCACAAGAGGTGGCTCTCATGGCTCAAGTGGTCTAGTGGATAACGCTTTGGGGTTTGAAACTATAGGCACTGGGTTTGAGCCTCGGTGGGAACATCATTACTCATTGAGAAATGCAGGTACATCCAGCCGGCAGACGAGTCCCAAATAGGATGAAATGCGCATTCTGGATTCCACTGCTAGTCACCACCCGCAAATTCAATACAAATCCCTACAAACCAATATTTGAAAAATACTCTTTTATTTGTTTTGTTTTATTATTTTTTTGTTAGAATTAATTATGCTAAACTTTCACTGCCTTTTGTAGCACAATAATATTTGATCTTCACTTTCTCCTTTCTTCTGTGTTAGCTGAATCCACTCCTGCGTTAATCAGTGGAGGTTAATTTTTTTTTGTTGTTGTTGTTGCTATCGCTAACTTTTGTTAGATAAATTGAATTGTTTCTTTTTTGTTTACCCAGCAATAATTTCAACGTTTATACGCTGACTAATTTGATAGTGTAGTTTTTCCTGCATACTAGAAAAATAAGGGGGGGGGGCGCATTACTCACTAGATTATGGTGATGATAAAGTGATTGCTTTCTTACTTACTTTCAAAGTTTCTACGTACACATCAGTATTTCTGATTAACTGTAATTAACGCCTAATTAATTAATTAATTAATTAATTATCTATTGACAGTTTTAGTGTATCACACCACCTCCTCTCTCTCTCTCACACACACAAACTCTGTGTATAAAATATAATAAATAGTGTACACAAGGTGGTTTAGTTTAGCCAAAGGTGTGTGTGTTTGTATGTGCGTGTTTGCGTGTGTTGAATAATATAATCCCCCTAACACCACATTTCTTGTCACATAACACTTGCTTACTTAATCTAATCAAATTTAATCTATATTGCTCGTTATATTTCCTCCCGCCACCTTCCTGCTCACGTGAAATGTTTCTTTTTTGTATGTTTTACCTAACCAACCTACGTAACTGCCTAAATTCTTGCACATATTAAGATAGACGACAGTTTTTTTATTATTATTATTAACTTGATTTTTGTAGTGGCTAAAATCTAATCTTTGTTAGTGCCCTAATTAACATTATCATCATCATCATTCTCACAAGGGATTGTTCCCATAGTGTTATTGATTTTAAACCAACAAACCAACAAAAAAATGGGGAATATCAGTGGTAGTCGTTCCCATCAGATAGGCGATCCTTATTTCACACTGACGATGTCGTCGTCAACATCATCACAATCGCTATCGACATTGACATCCTCCTCCTCCTCCCACTCCTCCAGCACATCACTACAATCGTTCAATTCGTTAACTGCTAATCTCATCACAAAACCATCATCATCATATCTGCAAAGGTGAGTAATCCAGCGTGGCTTAGCTTGGCTCCCCGCCTTCAAGTGTAGTGGTAGTAGATAGTATGTAGTGTCGGTGGCATAGCGGTTAGGACGCTCGCCGACCATGCGCATGGTCCGGGCTTCAATTCCCGGCCACAGACTCACTATTTTTTTTATCTGGTTAAGCCAGAAATAATGCTGGTAAAGAGGGAAGGTTGGGTATGAGGCTAGCAACCCCATCTTGTAAAATAAACACTGCTACAGAAACTTCAAGCTTGAAGCTCTATGTTCCACTGGGGGATGTAAAGGAAAGAAAATTATATCGTGTGTATTTATTTTATAGTATTCAAAATAATGAGAATGGTGAAAATGGTAATGAATTAATCTTTTAAAAGTGGGGTTCCAGGTTCGAGCCCTACTCCGTGTGCTGCATCACACAGTTAGTGGTAGTAGCTCTAATAACAACACTGTTTTCTGCATTGATGTTTCTCAGTGGGTAGAATATACTCGTCATTGTTCAAAAATGTGGCCTTGAGGTTTGGTTATCTACCCCCCCCTCCTCCAGTCTGCCCGACATCTTCTTTAACCTGACTTATCTGGTGGTAATTCTGATAAAGAGGGAAGATTAGAGGTGGGGGAAGCTAGCAACCCCACCCGCACCCCACGACTCCGTACAGCTTTAAAGCTCAAGCTTGAAACTCTATACTCCAACCTAATATTGCTGATTAGTGTATCTCATTGATTGTTTTGTGCTTCTTTATATTCTTCCCACTTATTTTTGGTGCTTAATTTTGCATTATAACAAAATACAGTCCACCCGCCCTTGACACTGTTGCCCACAATGCGCCTGAATGTATTGAAATGTCAACTACAACCGCTCCGCTGACTCCATCAGTCAATGGAATTATTAATGCTGATAGTGAACAAATCCCAGTAATGTTAACAACTGTAAATAATCATGATGGCGATTACAAGCGGATGAAAGTATCATCAGATGCACCACCAGTAGCAGCGTATACACCTGAGGTGAAAACTACTAGCCTGCTTCAAATTGCCTCTGAACATCGACAAAGAGAAGAAGTGGTTGATCGGATTACCAGTGAATTATTAATGCAGTTGGTCTCTGAAGCTATACGTTCTACTCTGAATGTTAGAATGTCTAATACTCAGGTAAAAATAATAACTTTGCATTTTTGTATTCTTTATTTTTTTTTGGAATTTTCGACTGTTTCGTATAGTAATAGTTTGTGAGGTGTCAAAATGTGTTTGTCACCGTCGTCCCTAGACAGAGCGATAATAATGTCTGTGGAAATAAGGCGGCGCGATATATAAGAGTTTGCATCCTGATTCACCTATTGTAAGGCGTTACATAACACAGCTGTGCTTCGTAATCGAGTAGTATGCGGTGTTTTCCTAATCAGCATCACTTAGACATTATCAAGTTGAAAATAAATAGCGCGAAATACGAACTTGTAGATATTTTTTTGGTCAGTTCGGTTTTTTCTATGGAATACAACTGAAGACTAAAGAGTCAATGTAGGAGCTGCGCTTACACATATACATCAATTCACTTTGTTACAATATTCTGTAAAAGCACACCTCAGAAGGCAAATGGAGAGAAAAGAACATAACATTAGGTTTCCAGTATCTGGGATGGTCTACGAGCTTGTCTGGGTTCAAGTCCCGTTAGGTGCATACTTCCAATGACTCCCAAACTAAGACGAAACGACTGTTCAGTTATCTCTACTGGCTTTGTGTGCGTTTGTAGTTCAACGGCAGAATGCTCGTCACTCATGCGTGGTGTCGTCCTGTCTGTCTGTCTGTCTCTATTTTCGACGTAGAACTTTGTACCGATGTGCGACAGTTCGAGTCACCACACTCCACTCCATGTGGCACACAAAGCAAAAGAAGAAAGTAGAAGAAATGCATAATACAGACACTAGATAGAGACATGAGATAAAAGGAATAGTAATAACGAAGAACGATATAGTTTCATTGATATCATAGGTCACAAGGAGTGGAAGCATGTGAGCCAGTCATTGAGAACGAAGATTTTGAGCCATATCACCCATTATTTCCAGCCTTCATTGGTTTTTACCGTCCGGAGGACCTCAGGATCAGTCAGGAAGTGTACACCTTCCTGTGTGACCGACTGGCTTAAACTAACTGTTGTAGATTTGATTGACTGGTGTCATGTTCTGGTTTGACCGCCGCTAGTTCTTCTCCAACCTGACCCTATGTCACCTAACATTGCCCGTCGAGGTCCGGTCCGGGGTTTGATCATCGGTCAATTCACATTCCCAAAAGCTACTAAGCCAGCGATAGGATCGGTAAAGAGGGAAGTTTGGACTAAATGAGTTTAACAACCCCATCCAGTAAGGAGAGAATGACACCATTAATACTGAACTTTCAAAGCTGTTGTTTGAAACCGTGTATGTTACACTCTAGACGTAGAAGATTAAAATACATACAGTGGTCAATGCATCTGATTTCGATTTGACAATATTTGTTTCAAGAAACATCACGTAATACAATTATTCTCTCTATATCGAAATGCTGTATTGCATAATTATGCACGTGGAATTTTAAGTGATACGACTAATTAATTAAAAGCGAATTAACTACCATCCAGCTTTACTTCCGACTGACTCACTGATTGGTTTCAATATATAACTTTGCACAGATGTGCATCAGTTCGAGTTTCCACACTCCTTCCTTGTGTACTACACAAAGCAAGAGAAGAGAGTAAATAATGGTTCAAAACAGAAATAATAAAAAGAGATATGAGGCAAAAGGAATACTATTTATATGTAATAATAATAGAGTTTTATTGGATATTATAAATCACAAAGTGTAAATGCTTCTGCTATACTGAGAATGAGGATTTTAAGTCATCTTGCCAGTTGTCTCCAGCGTTCATTGGTGTTCACCCTCCCGTGGACCCCAATCAGTCAGGAGGTCTACGCCTCCCTACGTCGCCGGCTTAAACTAATTGTCATCGGTCTCACTGACTAGTCCCAAGTTCTGGTTTGACCAGCACACTAGCTCTTATCTAACCCGATCCTATATCAGCTAACATTGCCAGTTTTTGAGGAAGGCGATGCTCAGACATACGTAACACATACCGTAGCCATCTCAATCAATGTGACTTCACAGCCTCGTCGATTGATTTCCCCTCCATACCTAGCACTCGACTGATACCTAACCTCAGTATTACTCACCCTGTTATATCACTTTTGGACGACAGCTATTCGGATATCACGTCTACTAAGCCAGCGATGGCGTAATTTGGCATATGCTAAACGAGCTTTCTCTATTCGTGCTGAGATTTCATCACCGACCAACTCGTTGGGACTGGCTGATGCAACTTCCCAAAATAAGTGAAGTGGTCAACACTATCTTTGCGCCAATCAGAGTCTATTTATTCCAGTCCTGTAGCATCATCTCGCGCAGAACATTCGAAGATTGCTACCGCTTGAGGTGTTGAAAAGACTCTGCATTTTGTAAGTGTCTTCACTTAGAAAGGAGGACTATATTATCTACATATTGGAAGCCAATAAGATTATTCTCTGTTAAGAAGTCAATCTCTGAGTCGCTGAAGTCAGTTAGGGTTAAACCCACTAGTAAGTACATCTATGATGAAATTAAACAGAAATGAGGATGGTGGTGGGCCTCCCTGTCGGAAACTACTTATCATCATCACTTCAGGTGACAGATAACTCTCTGTAGGCTCTTACCTGGCTGCATGGGTTCAAGTAATGTTGTAACGACAGAAGACAAGGGCCAGGCGATGGATCCTTTATTAAGGAAATCAACATATATTTATAGATTTTCATGTACATTATTATCGACTATTGTTAGCAGAAAAACAGTCTCCTGATTGGTTGTTTCTCACAGAAAGTCAACCTTGCATCTCCTTGTGATTGTTTCTTGAATGTCAGATCATCTATATGTTAACTGTATCCGCCTACGCAAAGTCTTTGTTCTCATTTTCCTCACGACCAATATTGGGGACGTAAACATTGACGTAAATTACTGTCCGCCAATTTTGACTAACAGACAGCTGTCATCACAATGTGAGTACCTTGATCAGTGTTATGCATTTTCTTGACATTTATTTTACAGTCAAACGTTGGCAAAGTACCTCTCAGTCGACGAAATCGAATATCGCTTTCAGCTCAAGAAATATGACAATTGTTGGACACCACTAAGCTTATGCCTATGCCTATGCCGTCTCTATATAATTTATCTTGATAACCATTGCCATCGGTACAACTTCCATAATAATAATAATAATAATAATAATAATAATAATAATTGATTATTTTTATTATAAATTTGAATAGACGAAAACTTCAGATGATTCAGAAAGTGATAAAGAAAATAACCTTGTGGAAGGCTCATTTCCCCAACAGAAATCTCCAGTATTCAATGATGATGGTGATGATGAGGAGGAGTCTTCAGACGAAGAATCTATTCCCCTACTAGACCTAGGCGTGAAGTTATCTGATGAAGATTTTGAGGAGAAAATATCTAAGGCAGCAAAATCTAAAATCCACGTCACACCAGAACCTTCATACAGCGAAGAAAGTGTTCAAGGGTTATTTGCTGATATCCCGGAAAGATCACAAGCCTTAATCCAACTTGCAGTGAAACATTTTTGGGAATATCGATCCAATGCAGAGGTTGGTTACAAAGAGGCTAGTCTGACAGAGGCTTTGAATAATCCTCCGGCAGAGTTTGGATTTGATTACTGTGATAAAATAGGTGAGCTTTATTTTTGTTTAAAATAAATTTTATTGTGTGGTTTCTTTGAATTTTAAATTACCGGCATTTGCGGAAATTTTGTTTTTATTAGGCTATCCTTTTTCATGTAGTATAATGTATGCCGCTAACTGATGTCATCTATGGTTATTATTATTATTATTCTATTCTGTCTGTTTTCGACTTAGAATTTTGCACCGATGTGCGGCGGTTCAAGTCGCCACACTCCACTCCATGTATCACACAAAACAAGAGAAGAAATGCATAATAGAGACAATAAACAGAGGTGTGAGACAAAAGAATAGTAATAACGAAGAACAATATAGTTTTATTATTGAGTATTATAAATCACAAGGAGTGGATGCATGTTTACCAGCCATTGAGAACGAGGATTTTGAGCCATATCACCAATTGTTCCCAGTCATTAGTTTTTACCGTCCCGAGGATCCTAACCAGTCAGGAGGTGTACACCTCCCTACGTGACTGGCTGACTGGCTTAAACTAACTGTTGTGTATTTCATTGACTGGTGAAGGCATGTTTTGGTTTGACCACTACTAGCTAACTCTTTTCCAACCTGATCCCCCCCCAAGTCAGCTAATATTTTTTGTCGAGGAAAGCGATGACTAGGCATACGTGACACATGTTCTGACTTTTTCTTAACCCCTCTTTCCAGAGTGGAGAAACAGCATAGCTGGCTGGTATGCTGATCATATGAGGGAAATACCTCACTGCCGTTAAATCCTTGTTCCTTAGTGGCAGTACGACTTCGCCCACAGCATAGTGTAAAAAAGAACTCTTACAGGATAATGAGAATCCTGGCTTAGCTGAACAAAATTCTGACAAGTGTTTCCTGTTTGACTACTTCAATTGGAACGTAGTATCGAATTGATAAGGCTCTTTATTTACCTGGACAAGCATGCTGACACCACCATTGATATCATGACTGCTGGGTATGTGTGTGTGAGTGAGTGAATTACAGGACTTTCAGATAAGCGTGTTCTTGATATTCAGTTCATCAGTTGAGGATAACCAGGAGATGCGGTTACACTTAGGAGAAAGATCCAGCTTACGATGAAGCATGTATTCCTTATTCCCCTACTAATTGCCACTTGATATTTGAAAGCTCGGATGGAATGGTTTCTCTGTGTTGTTTATGTAACTGATAGACTGTCGCTTAATTCAGTTTAGATTTTCCCGTCGACTGATTGCACCAAAGTGCTCGGTATCAGGTAGCTTTGGTGGCTCAATGGTCTAGGGGATAACGTTTTGGCGTTTGAAACTATGCCACTGGATTCGGATCTCAGTGGGAACACCATCACTCACTGGGGAATACAGGTGCGTCCAGTTGATGAATCTCAAATAGGACGAAATACGCATCCTAGTGAGATCTCACTGCTAGTCACCATTCACCAATTGACTTTATGGTAGGCTAACAATACATGTTTATGAACGCTTGGTGTCGTATTCAATGATGGTGTTCATTTTGTATTTTCTGATATAAGTTCTCACTAATCTAGTGCCGGTACCATGACTTGTTGGTGGTCGCCGGATAGGTGTATCGCAATAACCGACAAGCTAAACTGGCTGGAACTAGTGTTCCTGAATATCCTTCCATGTCAGAATGATTGTTTGGATAGCGATTAGACTAAAAGCAGTTAACAACATAAGGCAAGATTTTTTGCAGTATGCTGGGGGTAGGGGTCTGTCGGGAAAGTCCTACTGCCGCTGGGAAATAGGGATGTAACAACAGTAGGGTGTTCCCTTCAGATGACCAGCATACTAGCCAGCTGTGCTGTTTCTCCACTCTGATGAGAGAGAGAAAGGGGGTTAGGAAAAGTCGACTCCCAACAATTGTACAATTGACTTACCCCACATATGGTGGTCCGTAACCGGTGGTAAATTTACTAATACGAAACCAATCGAATAAGCCAGTTCATGCTGGTTGTGTATGACTGACTGGTCAACATCAAACAGTTGTCCCCTGGGCTCTGCAGTCACGCAACACTAATTCTTCTTCTATTTCAGATAGCTCCAGAAACAAATAACTTTGTGGGTGTGGTGGGGAGGGAAGCCGGAAAGTAACAACCACGCACATATTTTCAAAAGTCAGACTTATCTAATGCATATATCTATTCACATTGAATGAAATTATTTCCAATTTTTTTTTCTTGTCTTTTCTCTTATCTTTCAGATCTTGAAATATTTAAAACTAAATCTAATATTAGATTTATTAGTTCTACTCTACTATTCGATTTGATTGGTGAACTCTTGCAAAAAATCTATGCTGGTGAAGACAATGAGGTCAATGAACAACAACAGAAACAACACATGGTGAATCATTTCCAGGCAAAGTCTACACATCGTGTTTCAAGTGCACAATTTCGACTTTGGCGTGGACCTTGTCGGTAAGTGTGTGTGATGATTCTCTCTCTTTCCCTCTCTGTCTCTTTAGTATTGTAGCAGGTGTCTATATTTTTTATGATTGATTAATGAATGACTTACAAGCGAAAACCGACAAACTGGTTGAAGAAGCAGCAGGCGAAGACAGGACTCCAGGTGAACATAGACAAGACGGAGGTTATGAAAATAACCAACCATCCATCAAAAACAACAACAACAACAACAACAGCAGCAACATACAGCGCCAATCACCCACCATCAACGGGAGGGATTTAAAAGAGGTTACTTTATTCACTCACTTATCTTAGAGAGCATTGTCTCAACTACAGGAAGTCGGAACGGACGAGGATGTCAAATCGAGCGAGAATCGGGAAGGTGAGAAACACATTAACTCATCAACCTGAAACCAATCTGGAAATCTTCATCACTCAGCCAGAATCAACAACAAAATTCGGTAGGGTTTTCAATACAAACGTCAAGTCAGTCAGTTCTTCTATACGGAGCAGATCAGAAACTTGGCGGATGGGTCACAAAGAATATTTCCAACAGGCTGTTGCAGACCAGTATCAGCAACTGTCTTTGCTGGCTCTATACTGAAGATCGGATGACCGGGCCGGAAAGAGTCACCGACAAGAAACTGCGGGAAGAAATAAAACAAGAACCAATCGCCAAGCGACAAATATGCAGGAGCAAGTGGATATGGATGGGTTGGACACTCACTCACTGAGGAGGCCGCTGGGTGACATCGCGCGCGCGTCAGGCCATTGCCCGAGTGGAACCTGAAAGGGGAGCGGCGAGTGGGACGTCGGTGAAAGGGTGACATGGAGGAGATCGTGTGAAGTGAAGAGGAGTTGAAAAAGTATGGACTAACATGGATGCAGGTGAAAAGTACAGCAGAAGGAAGACAGAAGTGGCAAGTGGAGACGTGCAGTTGAAGCCCTATGTTCCACTACGAACCTGAGGGAACAATAATAATAATGAATGAGCAAAGAATATTCTTCCTCGATACATTTGTCATCAGGTTCTACATTTATATATGGCCATATTATTAATGACCACCAGATTCAACTCCAAAGGAAGGAAAGTGTTAATTATACAATGTTATGCACCCACAAACAACGCAGACCTCGAAAAGAAAGAAGAATTCTACAGATAACTACAGGCAACAATGGACAATACTCCAGCTGGCGACATTAAAATACTAATGGGAGACATGAACGCCAAACTGGGACCAGACAATACGGGAAGGGAACTCATCATGGGTAGAGAAGCTCTAGGAGAAATGAATGAAAACGGAGAACTCTTCGCCGACTTCTGCGCCTTCAACGAACTGGTGATTGGTGGCAGTGTATACAAGCACAAAGATATCCACAAGGCTACATGGGTGTCACCAGACGGGCAAACCAAAAACCAAATCGACTTCATCTCAATCTCAAGGAAGTGGAGGCGCAGCCTACTGGACACAAAAGCAAGAAGAGGAGCAGACGTTGGCTCAGACCACTATCTCGTACAAGGGACAATCCAAATCAAATTAAAAGCTTTCAGGGAAAGAGGAGCTGCAGATAGACCACAAGCCAAGTTCAACACTCAAAAGCTGAAGGACCAGGCTACAAAGGACATCTTCATTGCAAGCATAAGGGACAAAGCCGAGACACAAATCAACACTAGCGAAGAGGTCGGCGTCGAAAAGCACTGGAACAACTTGAAAACGGTGTGGAGTCAAACCTGCATGAAAGTTCTAGGCAGAAAGAAGAGACAGGACAAACAGTGGCTCACTACGGACACTTGGAAACTAATAGAAGAGAGAAGGACAGTGAAACAAAAGATTATCCAGTGCACTGACGAGCAACAAAAACAGGAGCTGAATGCAAGCTACAATACACTGAACAAAAGAGTGAAGAAGAGTGCCAGGGAAGACAAAAGAAAATATTATGAAACCATGGCAAACGAAGCAGAACAAGCTGCAGGCAAAGGAGACCTCGCCACACTCTACCAAACAACTAGGCACCTTTCGGGCAAAAGTTCGACACAGATTAAGCCAATAAAGGACGACAATGGAAAGTCAATCACCAAAGAGGTGGAGCAAAGAAAACACTGGGCTGAACACTTCAAAAGACTTCTAAATCGTCCGCCACCTACAACGCGCCCAACAATACCAACAACGGAAGCAGAACTACCAGTGAACATCGACCCCCCGACGAAATCAGAAGTCCTGAATGCAATCAAGATGCTAAAAGCTGGAAAAGCAGCAGGACCAGATGGAATCCCGGCAAAAGCATTGAAAATGGACCCAGAGACAACAGCGGACTTGATGACACCACTGCTGGAGAAGGTGTGGAAAGAGGGCAAAGTACCCGAGGATTGGAAGAAAGGACACTTATTCAAAGTACCGAAGAAAACAGACTTAAGTCAATGCAAGAACTGGTGTGGAATTATGCTCCTGTCCATCCCAAGCAAAATACTAAGCCACTTCATCTTGGAGAGAATCTAACACTCCAACCTGGATGAAAAACTTCGACCGGAACAACCTGGATTCATGAGAAACAAGTCATGTATTGATCAAATCGACACTCTACGGATCATCATCGAACAAAACTTGGAATGGCAGTCACATCTCCACCTCACTCAACTTCATCGACTTTGAAAAGGCCTTCGATAGTGCAGCGTCTATCGAGAGGTGATTTGGCAACTACTTCGCTACTACGGGGTGACATCGACAATTATATATCTCATCCAACAGTTGTACGACAATGATGCATGACAAGTAATCCACAACGGGAAACTTACGGAAGCCTTCGAAGTGAGGACGGGAGTGAGACAAGACTGCCTACTATCGCCAATGATTTTCCTGATTGCAGTAGACTGGATAATGCGACAGACAGCTAGCGGGCAATGAGGAAACAGGTATAAAATGAACTCACACAAAAAACGTGGAGGACCTGGACTTCGCTGATGACGATATATGTCTGATTTCCCACAAACTGGAAGATATGCAAGTGAAAAGCAACAAGTTGGCAGAAGAAGCATCCAGAGAAGATAGGAATTCAGGTGAACATAGAGGAAACAGATGTAGGTGATGAAGATTCCTGGCCAACACCAACAGACAACAATCAGCATAAATGGGATGAACGTGAAAGAAACAACCTCCTTCACCTACCTGGGAAGCATCGTTTCAACTACAGGCGGAACTGACGAGGATATCAAAGTCAGAATCGGAAAAGCAAGACAAGCTTTCATTACTCTCAAGTCTGTATGGACGTCAACAGCACTTCTCATTGTGAAAAATAAAATCCGGATTTTCAACTCCAATGTGAAGTCATTGCTACTATACGGATCAGAGACTTGGCCAGCGCGTCATAAAGAGCACCTCAAACAAATTACAGACCTTCATCAACAGCTATTTTTGTTCAACACAACTCCAGATAAGATGGCCAGTCAGAAAAGATCAGCAACAGGGATCTTTGGGGGCGAACCAACCAGGAACCGATTGTGAAACAAATAGGCAGGAAGAAATGGAGATGGATTGGCTGGCCATACTTTGAGGAAACCATCAAGTGATATCACTGGACAAGCCATTGCTCGAGTGGAACCCTGTTGGGAAGTGGCGAGTTTGTCGTCCAAGGGTGATTTGGAGGAGGTTATTCGAGGAGGAGATGAAAGCATGTGGACACACGTGGAGCGGGGTGAAAAAGTTGGCAGAAAACAGAAGGCAGTAGAAGTGCGCAGTTAGAGAACCATTGAAAACCATCCACAGGGAGTACTGGACAGCTGTTTCATCCAAACTATATAAAATCAATCTGATGCTCGCTAGTGACTTGCTACTGAGTGGAGTTTCCTGGAGTGAGTTCTAGTGAGAAGTCGTGAACAGTGAGGTCCATCCAGAGGCCACGTGTGAGAATGGATGTCCCACCGATGACATTGGTCGGTGGTCGCTCCAAATCACAAATTGGTAGAAGTTAGAATCCATGGGCTGTCCATTGAATCGGGTCGGGTCCCAGTAGCTGAATAGTATACGAGCTTGCCTTGTAACCGGAAGGTCCTGCGTTCGAGCCATAGTACTGCAGATGACTTCCAAACTAGGATGAAACAGCTGTCCAGTACTGCTTGCTGGTTTTCAATGGTTCTCTAACTGATATCAATCCGTGATCAACTCGTAAAAAATGAAGTATGTAGAGTTCTATACTTGAATTAAAAGTCTGAACGAAGAAAATTCTTTTCAACAATTTCTCCTTTTCAGGTTCTTACAATTATAAAATATAATATTTGTTGTCGTTACAATGATGGCCAGTTATGCTGCGGTTCCTTTTTTCAACGTAGAATAACAGATTAGTTATAGGGTGTCAAAATAAATAGTCGTATTTGTGTGATAAACGTGCTCTGGGCTGAAATCGATTACAAAATAATTTGGTAAATTGGGAGACACTCGTGGTGATTAATCATAATAGATTTGTCGAGTGTGGGGTAGGAAACATTGACAAGTCAGTTCAACGGTTATAAGAGGTGTCAGGTGAGTGAGTGACTAGTACAAAGTAGTCTGTATTAAACAGGGATAGAAGTGAGACTGCAATGAGAGGCTCATAATGAAATAACGAAGATGTGAAATGAAACAGGTGGAGGCATATATAATGGAAAAAGAGATAATATCACTAATAATAAGTCCGGTTAGTATAAATGAAAAATTCGAAAGTATTGAGGGAATGTTTGCATGAAGGGCATAAATTATGACGAATAATAATAATTGTTATAATAATATTTATAATAATAAGCAAAGGAAAAGAAAACCCAGAGGGTCAAGGGGAAGGAGCACTCTTGGTGAGATAAAGAATCATCAGTCCAAATTTGGCGATGGTAGGAACAGCGTCTGGACGTGTTCTTTTTGGATACAAAGTTTGGGTTTAGTCGATCTTATTATGGCAGCTTCAGCTCTGTGTGTAGGAGACGTCAGCGAACTGTGCGTAATAACGACTTAGGAATTGGGTATATAACCCTGAAAGCTATGTTGACATCGATACGATGTTCAGCGTCGACCAAGTGTGACAAGATCGAGCTTTTTACGCACTTAATTTTCCCCTCCCCTTGCTGAAATAGGCTGGTAAATGTTCTCGAACCTGTAGACGAACTAGAGTTCTTTACTGAAATGAGTCAGTTCATAGTCATACTTTTATTTTATAATAAAGATAGAGGATGTCCAAATAATTTCTCATTTTCTTTTACAACAATTGAATTTTTCCTTTTTGTTTTATCAGGCCAACAAATTATAATCATCTATTAAACATTGTTACCTCGGAGATTTGTCGGGAGTTAAACTTGAAAACAGATGGTAGTAGTATGCTCAATACAATACATCAACAACAGCAACAACAACAAGAAGGGAATAAATCAAAGCGACGACTAAATGAAATCCCTTCATCGCTAGCATCAACATTGTCATCATCGTCTCGTTTCTCTCGTCTAGTCCAATGGACACTAAGCAAAAAATCATGGCTTGACCGTATCTTAGACATAGAGCTACGTTTAGATGAGCCTACCTGGCTATCTTATGTACCGGAGGAACGTGAAATTAAAATGAAACTAGCTGATGAATTATGGCAAGATGTACTCAATGATGCTGTCTGCTCAGTGATTGCTTTAAATTCATGTAAATCATAAAAAAGAAATCAAATTACTGCATCTCTAACCTGTGCCTTATTCTTCTTTTTATTATTATTCGACTAGATCAGATCATCATCACTTCTCTGTGTCTCTCGAATATCTAACCTAACTAACTACCTGTGATATTACATTTATCTGTACATACTCTGTTTGCTCAGAATGATGAACTGCGGGCGGGCGGCCGTTAGGGCCGTCTTTGTGGTGATGTTGATGTTGGTCGGTAAACGGCTTTTAACGATCTCATTTTATTAAATTGCCTTATGTAGGGATGTCTGTTGCTCTGTGTGCATGTGTGCGTGTGTGAATACAGTTCAGAGTAAACTTTTTCATATTTTTAGCTTTCAAATTTTAGTTGTTTTTTTATTACAAAAATGTTTATTCCGCCTTTTTTTCTCTCTCATTTTCTACCTCCAGGATGGAAATTTGTGTGTGTTTGTGGGGGAGTTTGTTTCTTTGGAATTGTTCTATTTACGTTTATTATTATTTTTTTGTTTCTATCATTGTTTTTCTTCAATATTTAAAACAATGATTTTTTTTGGGAGGGGGGCGCATTGTTTAAACACAAGGATAATTTAATGTACTACTACTACTCTGGGAGGTAGGTAGGTAGGTTGGGTGGGTACTACTGCTCTACAACACTTTTGTGTATCTCACAGCGTTGTGTGTATGTCTCCTTGTTCCAGTGAGTCACTTGAACATTAGTTTGTTAAATATTTTTATTTATTTATTTATTTGTTTATACTACTCATATGAGCTGATTAGTTTATTTAAAAAACATTTTTTTATCATTATTTTGTTTTGTGTGGTGCTGTGCATTTGCTTTAGTGTCTTCCTCTCTGTATTATAAATAATGTATAATACTGGTGCATTCTTCCATTTTTCAGATTTTCTTTTTTTTTTCCAGAAAGGGTTGTTACAACATAGACCTCTTTGTCTCCCTCTCTCTCTCTCTCTATGTGTTTGTATGTGTGTATGTGTGTGTCTGTGTCGTCAGTTCTTTACGCACAACTTACTTATGTATATTTTATGTGTTCTGGTTCTACTTACTACACCTGTATTTGTGTATAGAAACAAAAATAAATAAATAAATGCGAATATGTATCCTTATTGTATTATTATTATTGTGCTATGTGGTTTTATTCCTTAAGATACACTGCAAAATATACAATTAGTAGTGATAATTTCATTGTTTACACTAATATATACATATACATATATTTATATCAATCATTTATTTTAATGATTATTACTATTATTATTTCCTTTAATTCCTAGCGGAACATAGGGCTTCAGCCGCGCATCTCCATTGGGTTCGGTTTTCTGGTAGAGTTTTCACCTGGCTCCAAGTCTGCCCACATGCTTTCATCTCCTCTTCACATAGGACCAACTCTCCACTTCCCTTTCACAATCGGGTTCCACTCGAGCGATGGCTTATCTAATGATATCACTTGATGGTTGGTTTTCTCAGAGTATGGCCAATCCATCTCCATTTCTTCATGCATATTTGTTTCACAATTGGTTCCTTCTGGGTTGGTTCGCTCATTGGCAGACATCCCTGTTGCTGATCTTTTCTGGCCATCTGATCTTGAGTGGTATTGAGCGGAGATAGCTGTTGATGAAGGTCCGTAGTTTGTTTGAGGTGCTCATTGTGACGCGCTGGTCAAGTCTCTGATCCGTATAGTAGCAATGACTTCACATTGGAGTTGGAAATCCGGATCTTATTTTTCACAATAAGAAGTGCTTTTGACCTCCAGGTCCTTGCTTTGATATCTTCGTCAGTTCCGCCCGCCTGTAGTTGAAACGATGCTTCCCAGGTAGGTGAAGGAGGTTGTTTCTTTCAGATTCCTCCCATTTATGGTGGCTGGTTGTTGTTGTTGGTGTTGGCCAGGAATCTTCATCACCTACATCTGTTTCCTCTATGTTCACCTGAATTCCTATCTTCTCTGGATGCTTCTTCTGCCAACTTGTTGCTTTTCACTTGCATATCTTCCAGTTTGTGGGAAATCAGACATATATCATCATCGGCGAAGTCCAGGTCCTCCACGTTTTTGTGTGAGTTCATTTTATACCTGTTTCCTCATTGTCCGCTAGCTGTCTGTCACATTATCCAATCTACTGCAATCAGGAAAATCGTTGGAGACAGTGGACAGCCAGGCAGCCAGCTTGTCTTACTCTCGTCTTCTCTTCGAAAGATTCCGTGAGTATCCTGTTGTGGATTACTTGTCATGCAGCAATGTCGTACAACTGTTATACTTTTCCCTATATTATTTATGTTGAAGACAAGGACCAGGTATTAGATCGTTTATTTAAGAGATCACCACATATTTATAGGTTTTCATGTACATTATTATACATTATTATTAGCAAACAAACACAGTCTTCTGATTGGTGGTTTTTCGCTGAACGTTAATCTTTCATCTCTTTGTGGCCGTTTATTGAAGTTCTGATTATCTATCTGCAAATTATAATCGCCTACACGAAGTCTGCTGTGATTGGCTGTTGAGTCAGTCTTTGTTCTTGTTTTTTTTCTCATGACAAATATTACGGACGTAAACATTGACATGAATTGCTGTCCACCAGTTTTTGGCTAGCAGCAGCCAGCTCTCACCACAATATTATTTCTGTTTGTGTTGCGCATACACTGAACAAAACAATCGGTTTATTCGACATAGGATTAGGTTGCAAAATAGTTAATTAATTATTATTATCATTATTCCCTTGGGTTCGGAGTAGTTCTGTTCTCTGCAGTTATCTTTAACTGACTTCATGATTGGGCATAGAGGCTTTCACCTTCGGGTAGTAGTTGGCCAACGCACGGTTTCCTAATTCAGGTTCTATCCAAGCGATAGATGGCCTGGCGCGTATTTCCAATCTAACTCTTTTTTTCTTTAAAATGTTTCTAGAGTTTCTTATTGCTAATTAAGTATTTCTGTGCATCTGATCTTTTCATAAAATGTGGGGGTGTGGTCTGGTGGTGTTGGAAATGCCTTGCGTTTCGCGTTCACCATGTTTCTGACCCATATAGAAGCACTCACTGAGTTGAAATTGATTGTGACGATTGCTGGACGCCGGTAAGGTATGCCTATGTTCCAGAATCTGTCGAAGGGTAAAGATATGATCAGTACACCCACCCTCTTGTGGCCTGTCAGCCTGCTTGGTTGTTTCGTGTTTGTTCGTCCCGTGAGCCTGTTAGTCTACGCATGATTATGGAGCCTAGAACTTTAGATACTATATCAGTCAGGCTAATCCCTCTGTGATTATCACAGGAAGACTTGTCTCCCTTCTTGTATATGGGGATAATCAGTGACTTACACCAACCCGATGGGACTTCTTCTGATTCCCAGACGCTGCCTATTACCTCAGTTAATCCGGACAGTAAGCTGTCTCCACCGTACTTAAATACCTCTGGAGTAGCTATTGGTTAAGTTAATCTCCTTGTGATTATCACAGTATGACTTGTCTCCTTTTCTGTATATCGTGGTAATCAATGATTTACACCGACCCAACGGGACTATCTCTGGTTCTCAGACGTTGTCTAATACAATAGTTAACGCAGATAAAAAAACTGTTTCTATCGTTCTTAAATACCTCTGGAGTCATTTCATCAGATCCCGCTGCTTTACTTCGTCGCAGACTAGTGCCGCCTTTTGTAACCTTAGTTAGGGACGGATAACCTGTGTCTATAGCCTATTCAGGGAGGTGTTGGATGCTTAGTAAGTTGAGCTTGCCTGTAGGCCAGTTAAATTGCTCCTTAAGGTGTTCTTTCACTTAACATTTACCGTTTACCACCTGTTTCTAAATAGTTGTCTCGTGTTGCCTATTGCTGATGCCTTCTCCATCTCTTTCTCTTTTGTCGCCCACCACTATTCACGGTCGTTGCGAAGACTTCTTGTTCGTTTTAGTTTGAGTAGCTTTCGCTGCTCATCATAGTCGGAGCTCGCCGGAATCACTCTTCTTGCGTTAGTCAGTTCGTATGACGTAGTAGAAATCCAATGGCTCTTATTGACTTTTGGTTTTAGCTTATTTACACCAGTGCCTATAGCTAACGGTATATTTTGCCAGGCTTCCTTAGGGGAATTCTTGTTGTCCACCTCACATACTCGTTTATCTGTTTCTTCCCAAAAATACGGACTCTGTCTTGATCTACTTGGGGACGTAACTGCTTCGCTGCCAACAATTTTTTATGTCCATTTAATTTTAAGCATAAACGTGTGCGAACCAGGGCGTGATCGGAAACTGCATAAGTGTTCCAGAATGAGCAGCTGTCGTCTACTGACCTTCGTCAACGATACCCTATGGCTATATGGTTTATCTGAGTCCGACGTTGATTTGGTGATGGAAGTCATCAGGTTATGCAGTATCTCTCTTTGTGCCTAAAGTTAGTGCTGTCTAGGAACAGATAAATATATGAACAGGACTGTAGGAGAGTGTCACCGTCGGCAAGGAACTCCATACGTGTACCACCTACATACTTCTCAGTCTGGCACAACTTCCCTACTGGGGCATTGAGGTCGCCTGCTAAAACAACTATGTCTGAACGTTTTGCTTTTTGCAGCAAATTAGACAGTTTCAGGTAGAAATCATCCTTTAGTTCATCCGAACTGCAGTCTGTTGGGGCTTAAGCGGAAACTATGGAAAGACAATGACGGGTAACGCCGTCCTTCCTTCTTCTAACAGACCCATTCAGACGGACCACACACTTACGACTATCTGCTGAGATCCAGTCAAGAAGCGACTTTTCTGCCCTACACCTTTGAGTCCTCGCAAACTAGCAGATTCACCCTGTTGGCCCATGTGGGGTTAAGTGAACGACCACACTCCGGTCTTGTATGCGTTTCTCGTAGACACAACATATATCCATGGCTCCAGATTCCAGAGGTCTTGTTAGTGATGCCTGTTGTCCGATTTGGCAGAGAGTCCTGACGTTAATTGCTCCTAAATGAAGTTGGTGAAGTGGCTTTCAGAGGCTGTCGGTGGGTGTTTCTATGGGTCTCACCATTGTTTGTTGTCACAGAGTGAAGTCAAGATGACTCACTAGCCTGTTGAACAGTACCTACTACAGTAGGGAAGTAAGATGATGAAGGTGATGTGGGTAAAGGATAATGATGCTCGGGGAGGCTTCGTGTGGTTTTGGAAGTGTGTGGGTGGTTGTTCCTTCCTGGCTGCCCACATCGTGGAAGTTGATTGATTCTTCGGGTACCTGAAACTGAAGAAGAATTAGTCTTGTGTGACTGCAGAGCCCAGGGGACATCTGCTTGATGTTGGCCAGTCAGTCACACACAGCCTGTATGAACTGGCCTCTTGGATTGGTTCCGTATTAGTAAACTTACCGCGGGTTACGGACCACCGTTGGGATAAGTCGGGATGTACAGTAGTTGGGAGTCGACTTTTCCTAACCCCCTTTCTCTCTCTCATCAGAGTGGAGAAACAGCATAGCTGGCTAGTATGCTGGTCACCTGAAGGGAACACATCACTGTTGTTACATCCGTATTCCCCAGCGGCTGTAAGACTTTGCCGACAGGCCCTCCTCCATAGCGCAGTTAAAAAAAATCTTACATTATGCTGGTAACTGCTTTTAGTCTAATTGCTATCCGAACAATCATGCTGACATGGTAGGAACTTCAGGAACACTAGTTCTAGCCAGTGTAGCTTGTTGGGTTATTGCGATGTCAGTCCGGCGACCACCACGTCAAGGTAGCAGCTATCTTTATGGCTTGACATTGGTGATGAAATTCCGAATGTTTTTCTTTATGCAGAGCACAGCACATACCCACACTGACTTTGGAGTGATGGTCTGACTCGCTTTTCCCATTCTTGTTTTGACATCGTGTTGTTGTTTCCTGTAGTTGAAACGATGCTGCATAGATAATTGAAAGGAGTGATTTCTTTCAAATTCCTCCCATTGCCGGTGATTGGCGCTTGTTGTTGGAAGTGACTGGTATCTTCATTACCTCTGTTTCTTCTAAGTTTACCTAAAGTCTTTCCTTGGCTTCTCTACCCTGTTCTACCAACTCTGTATTTGTCGAGTTTGTGTGACATTACACACAAATCGTCTGCCAAGTGCTGATCGTTTAGCGTCATTCTAATCGGGACAACGTATCCCCGTCTTACTGCCGTACATGGGGTTCTACACAATCCAGTCCAACACAATTAGGAATTAGGGATAGTCGGGTAAAAACTTTGTAGATCATTTCATGAAGTCCTTGACACTTGG